AGGCGTTTGGCCAGCTGTTGTCAAAGCTTTTCTTAATCTGCTTATACATCCACAGCTTGTATAAAAACCTTAAGGTGTGGCTGGCAAACAGCCAGGCGGCAAAACAGGCAATGGCAATGGTTAAAGTGGTAGTGCTCATGCAGTGTATTTTTTGTGAATGTCATTACTGATGGTTCTAATAAGGTTGGCTTCATAAACCAGCTCAGTGCCCAACTCATATTTTTGAAAGAATACCCAAAAGGCCAGGGCTTCAGTCTTTGTTAAGCTGATGCTATACTGTAGCTTATTATCAAAGCCTTTTCTGTAAAACTTGCCATAATGCAGTTTATAAGCTCTTGCAGCAGCTTTGCCTCCATGCTGGTTGGCACGGCCTGATTTAAGCAGATACTGCCAAACACCTGGTACAATGCGCGGAACTGGCCACGCGTAAGTTTTAGTTTCATATTCCTAATTGGCTTTCCATTTTATAAATCAGTTGCAGCGTCTGGTAGTCTTTAACTTTTATAAAGTCTTTTATTTTACCCAGGGCATACAGTACTGTGGTATGATTTAAGCCCAGCATTTTAGCCACCTGATGGGCGTTAATTTTGGCCCAGGTAACAAGCATGTATATCAGTACATGTTTTTCAGTTTGTTTACTGCGGGGTGATTTTCGGCTCTTGTAATCGTGAATGTCATTGCCCGTAACGGTACGGTAGGCATTAATAACATCTTCCGCTGCGCTTGCTGTACTCCATTCAATGTCGTGATGGATGCGAACCTTTCGTCCGTAAATAATAGCAAGGGTATCCTCTGCCTGCGTCAATATTTTTATGGCTATTTCTTCTCTGTGCATTATACAAGTTGTTTCAGGTAAGCAAATTGTTCTCCCAATACCACCCGGTTCGGTACTATCTCGCAGCAGAGCATCGGCACATCATGTATTTTACTGTAGTACTCACGGCGCAGGTGCAGGGCTATTTCGTTGCTGTCAAATTCTTCCAGGGCATCTAGTACGCCGTGGTCTCTCATGCTCCAAAGGTTTTTCCACCAGTTCCAGAACAAGGCGCGCCCTTGCAGGTAGCTTACAACAATCTCATCATTGTTGTAGAAGCGCTCCAGATAGCTCATACCGCTTTCAAAAAGAAAACTGTTGTGCTGTTCAGGCGTCCATTGCAGCCAGGCGCATACGCTGGCTTTAATGGCATCGGTGTTTACAATTGGTTCCTTTGGCATGTTGGTTGGTTTTTATGGTTTGGTTAGCTGGCTATTTTATGTACCAGGCGGAAGAGTTCTTCTGTAGGCTCCTTACCGGCCTTGCTGGCCTTTATAAGCACCGGCTCCAGGTAGTCATGTAATTCGCCATAGTTTTCACACAGCTTTATTAGCAGGCCCTGCAAGGCCGTATTGCCAGGTATGTACATTTCAAAGAAGGGCTTAAAATCACGATCCTTTTTCAGCGGGGTAATGTACCTGGCACCTGCCTTAAACCTGCGCCATAGCTGCGGTACGCTCTGTCGGTTCTTTTGCTTGCGATTCAAAATCATATCAAGTATCTGCTCTGTACCAATAAGCACTATGCTGGCATGCCGGTGTATGGCATCGTACAGCTCCTTTATCATGTTCAATACAGATGGCTTAAGGTTTTCAGCCTCGTCAATAATTATCATTGGCTTTCTATCAGCCTCTGGAAGACTCTTTATAAAATTTGAAATCAACTTGATTTTTTTGTTTATAAAGTGCTGTTTTAAGTCGCTGTATTCTATGCCCATTTCGTCTAAAATTGCGTCTACCACATGCACCAGCTTAAAGCTGCTGCCAACAGTTACGCAATAGGTAAACTTTGGCTTGCTGTTCATAAACAGCCGTATTGTGTTTGTTTTGCCCAGGCCGGTGTTACTAATCAGCAGCAGTGCTTTAAGCTCCTCGCTTGCTTCTACCAGTTCGCTCAGTATTTCGCGGCTCTGTTTTGTTTGCAGGTCTTTCCAACCATTGTAATTTTTCATTGTAGTAGAGTTGAGTTATTGGTTATTGAAAAATGAATCCATATTATAATTGTCATCCAGAAATCGCTCCTGCTTTTCTTGCCATTCATCGCTGCTGGTCTTATTGCTTATCATGGAGCGCTCTGCCTGGTCTTCAATAATGTTCTTAAGATGTTTTGGCATAAAGCGACCAAGCAGCGCCGCCTCTTCATCGTAGCTATTGTCACCAATGGCCAGCAGGCGTTTACCAGCCTTGTCAGTTACCCTGTTTACCTGTTCTTTCTTTTCGCTTAGTACCATATTCAGGGCGGTGCGGCTTCCGGCTGTGGCATCTTCCAGGGCGCGTGGCTGCAGGCTGGCAGAGTAGGCTATAAAGCGGATGTCTTTATCATTGGTCACCAATACCCGGCTCATGTCGTAGGGGTCATAGATAACCGTTACATCTTCGCCAATCATGCGCATGTTGTCTACGTAGTTGGGCAGGTCGTAACTGTATTTTACATTGTTTATTTGCGGCTCTACACCACGGTTGGTAATGCTTATTGTGCGGCCCTGCGGTTGGTGTCTGAATCCGAAGAGGAGGAGAAATTGTTCATCGTTTATTGGGCGCTTTTGCTCCGGAGTAAGTTTAGCCCATTCTTGCAGCCACATTTTTTCTTTGCTTACCTCGTCCATATTTTCGCGGGTAAAGGCTGGCAGGTTTTGCATCAACCAAAAGAACTTCTCAACCTGGGTGTCTGCCTGCATACCAACCTGTGGGCGCTCTTTACGTGCATCGTTCATAGCCTCCAGGTTTACCCCACGGTGGGCGGCGGTTAGGTTATTGCCATTATAATTTACCGTCTGGTGTGCTGCCAGCTTTTCGCAGCGCTTTGTGTGTGTAGTACCAAACAGCTGTTCTATATAACCTCTGTGTTTATTGCCCAGGGCGGCAGGCACATATTTACCAATCGTTTTAAAATAAGGCACTAACGTATCCTGCTGCCATCTGTCCGTTTTTACTTCAAAGGGTAAGTGCCAACCGCCAGTTAGCCGGCGCACGTAGTACATAGCATCTATATAGGCCATTTTCACCATCTCTACCACCGGGCTTTTGCCTGGGCGGTAGCTCTTACCAAGTACAAGCCCTGTCTTGCTGTCTGCAACTATATAGCTCACGTAGCGCTGCATCTCTTTGTTGGTTTCAGCATTGGGGTTGCTATAGTAGTAATTGAGGTTGTAGTCATCGCTCTCCCAAAGCATGCCTGCACGGGTGGGTGCCAATCCTTTTACCTGGCGGATGAATTTTTCATTGAAGGCAGCGCTACCATCGCGGCTTATTGATATTTCCCACTCTTTCTTTCTACGCCATAGACCTACAGTAGCTGGGCTTATAACCGGGTAATTGTTTTTTCCTGCCCATGAGTTGTAATTGAAGCATACCATTACATCATCATACTGGTTGGGGTGGGCTATTTGATCCAGCAGTATACTCTCTGCCAGTTCATCTGTAACCTTCTTTGCATTGCTGTTACCAAACTGCTTATGTATAAGGCAGGCATAACCGCTTTCCTGGTAAGCTTCCATTTTCTGGCGCAGGCGTTGGTAGGTAGAAGGAAGATCTATTTTGTCGCTCTCTATTATTTGGGTAACGGCTATCCAGAAGTCTGCAAGGCGCAGGTTCAGCATTTTTTTGATGTCCTTTTTGTTGGCCTCTGCTTTTACAAGCATATTCAGCCAGCTGGCGGCGGCAACATAGTTTTCAACGTTCTCCCATGGCAGGGCTTTATTATCACTATATCTATATGCCAGGTAGAAGGCTTCCGCAGCGGTGTCTTTGGCAACCATTTTACGGATAGGTTCCTTTGCCAGGTATTCATACGGGTTGCCAAACCGGGCCTTTATCTTGTCCTTGTTGGCATCGGTCATGCGCTCATACTTTATAAGCACTTTCCTTTTGTCAACCGGGTCTGGCATCATTTCCCATGAGGGGCTTTTCCGGCTGCTGGCCTTCCAGATGGTGTTTTCCTGAATGCCGCTTTCAACGCAATCAGGCACCTCCAAAAAAAGTTCGCTGTTAATTAGTTTCAAGGTTAATGAGGGTTGAGGGTTAATCAAATGGCACCAGTTCCTTCACTGCTTTAAGCAATCTGTTATGTTCCTGCTTGTAGGTCATGTAGTCAGTGAAAATTGCTTCGTTCGTTTTGTCACCGGCCACCACCAACTGAACCATGCGGGACGACACCCCATGTTTACTAGCTAGAATGTCTATTACCTGTTCAGGGTATTTTCTGTTGCGGCCTACTTTCATAGTATTTTTTGGCATATCTTTCGGGTTCGTTCGACCGAACAAAAGTAATGAAAGGAAAATTAGAATTTCTAATTTATCTGGAATTATTTAATCCACAAATGTTAATAATCTTGTCAAAGCTCGGCCAAAACATCCGTTTTTTACGAAAACAAAGAAGTCTTACACAGGACGAAATGCCCGCTGCTATTGACATTGGCCGTGCAACATGGTCAAACTATGAGAATGACGCAACAGAGCCCAGCATTGACACGATAATTAGAATTTCAGAGTTCTTTGGAGTGAGTATTGATGACCTATTGAAGGTTGAACTGTCCAAAATTGTACAGGTAACGCCAAAAAACGGGGATAGCGAAAATGAGGCAAAAAGTACAGGTAATAGTACAGGTAACAGTACAGGTAATGGCTCAAAACCGGCCAAAAAATACCCTCTAAATGAGGCGGGAACAGAGGCAAAAGAGGAGGAGAATCTTAATACCTGGGTAATAATGGGGCAGTTACGTAAAATGGATGAAAAGTTAGACCAGTTGCGGCTTTTAGCGGACAATAAGGGGGCTGGAAAGAAGTAAATACAAGCCAATATCAATTACAAGGGACAGGGGCGCCCAAAATCAAAGGCCAATCCAAGATGATACAACATTCTGTTTTTTATGCAAAAAGGCGCAAATTCGGCTGAAACCCGCGCCAGCTGTGCAAATTTTGCACTTTATATATATGCATATAAGTATACGATCTGTTTTACCCCCCTTACAAGATACTCAATTGGCGGGATGGTTGGTTTGTTCCCGCATCCCTGAAGGCACCGACCACAACCCTTCCGCAATAAGTTCACAACCCTTCCGCAATAAGTTTTTGACCTTTTCCTGGAAGTTTTAGGCCAAAAGAAAAAAGTATTGCGTCATTTCCAGAAAATTTTAGCCTAAAAGAAAATAGTTTTTCGCCTTTTCCTTGAAGTTTTTTGCCAAAAGAAAAAAGTTTTACGGCGAAAGAAATTTTTTTGGGCCCATTTCCTGAAAGTTGTAGGCTAATTTCTAACCTTTTTTCTCCCTAATAAAAAAACATTCACTCCCTGCCGGTTTTAGGCCTGATCATCGCAGGTTTTTGCCCACGCCAGACCCAATCAATCTTGTAATTCATCAGCGCGCTGCACCATGCGCTGCATTTGAAAGGAGCGTCGCAACCATCGCCCATTCAGGGTGCAAATGACGGTAAAAAATGAATTGCTTTCCCGCTGTTACCCTGCACGGGAATACTCCCGCTTATCCTCCTTTTCTCTTTCCCTATCCTGGCCTAATAATACAATGCGTGCACCCTGAATTTCCCTTTTGAATCCAGTTCAATGGCCGGCGCTGGAATCTTTACTATGTTCAGTGTAAAGAAAATAGTTTTCAGCAGTTTGCTTTTTGTTTTGATTTTGGTGAGATCAATATCCGGCGCAATAAAAAAACGCCTCACGCGGGGAATGTCTTTTCTGTCGTGGTAAACGCCCTGTTTATCGGTCCATGTATTTTGGGTGCCGCCCAGCATGCCATCGGCACTGTATCCCAGGGAAACGTTTAACCATGC